GTGATAGGACAGAACTTATAAACTCAGTGTTGTTCGAAAATGCGTCATTATCCCATGCTATAATATCCCCAAAGCAAGGAGTCAGTAATAGTAGTAGTAATAATAATAATAATAATAATAATAATGTTGTTGTTGTTGTTGTTTAGTCGTTTAGTCGTGTCCGACTCTTTGTGACCCCCTGGACCAGAGCACGCCAGGCACTTCTGTCTTCCACTGCCTCCCGCAGTTTGGTCAAACTCATGCTGGTAGCTTCGAGAACACTATCCAACTATCTCGTCCTCTGTCGTCCCCTTCGCCTTGTGCCCTCCATCTTTCCCAACATCAGGGTCTTTTCTAGGGAGTCTTCTCTTCTCATGAGGTGGCCAAAGTATTGGAGCCTCAGCTTCAGAATCTGTCCTTCCAGTGAGCACTCAGGGCTGATTTCCTTAAGAATGGATAGGTTTGATCTTCTTGCAGTCCATGGGACTCTCAAGAGTCTCCTCCAGCACAATAATTCAAAAGCATCAATTCTTCGGCGATCAGCCTTCTTTATGGTCCAGCTCTCACTTCCATACATCACTACTGGAAAAACCATAGCTTTTACTATACGGACCTTTGTTGGCAAGGTGATGTCTCTGTTTTTTAAGATGCTGTCTAGGTTTGTCATTGCTTTTCTCCCAAGAAGCAGGCGTCTTTTAGTTTCGTGACCGCTGTCACCATCTGCAGTGATCATGGAGCCCAAGAAAGTAAAATCTCTCACTGCCTCCATTTCTTCCCCTTCTATTTGCCAGGAGATGATGGGCCCAGTGGCCATGATCTTCGTTTTTTTGATGCTGAGCTTCAGACCATATTTTGCGCTCTCCTCTTTCACCCTCATTAAAAGGTTCTTTAATTCCTCCTCACTTTCTGCCATCAAGGTTGTGTCATCTGCATATCTGAGGTTGTTGATATTTCTTCCGGCAACCTTAATTCCGGCTAGGGATTCATCCAGCCCAGCCTTTCGCATGATGAATTCTGCATATAAGTTAAATAAGCAGGGAGACAATATACAGCCTTGTCGTACTCCTTTCCCAATTTTGAACCAATCAGTTGTTCCATATCCAGTTCTAACTGTAGCTTCTTGTCCCACATAGAGATTTCTCAGGGGACAGATGAGGTGATCAGGCACTCCCATTTCTTTAAGAACTTGCAATAGTTTGCTGTGGTCGACACAGTCAAAGGCTTTTGCATAGTCAATGAAGCAGAAGTAGATATCTTTCTGGAACTCTCTAGCTTTCTCCATAATCCAGCGCATGTTTGCAATTTGGTCTCTGGTTCCTCTGCCTCTTCTAAATCCAGCTTGCACTTCTGGGAGTTCTCGGTCCACATACTGCTTGAGCCTTCCTTGTAGAATTTTAAGCTTAACCTTTCTAGCGTGTGAAATGAGTGCAATTGTGCAGTAGTTGGAGCATTCTTTAGCACTGCCCTTCTTTGGGATTGCGATGTAGACTGATCTTCTCCAATCCTCTGGCAATAATAATAATAATAATAATAATAATAATAATAATAATAATAATAATTTATACCCCGCCCATCTGGCTGGGCTTCCCCAGCCACTCTGGGCGGCTTCCCAAAAAATATTAAAATACTGTAATACATCAAACATTAAAAGCTTCCCTAAACAGGGCTGCCTTCAGATGTCTTCTAAAAGTCTGGTAGTTGTTTTTCTCTTTGACATCTGGTGGGAGGGCGTTCCACAGGGAGGGCGCCACTACCGAGAAGGCCGTTTGCCTGGTTCCCTGTAACTTGGCTTCTTGCAGTGAGGGAACCACCAGAAGGCCCTCGGTGCTGGACCTCAGTGTCCGGGTAGAACGATGGAGGTGGAGACGCTCCTTCAGGTATACTGGGCCAAGGCCGTTTAGGGCTTTAAAGGTCAGCACCAACACTTTGAATTGTGCTCAGAAACGTACTGGGAGCCAATATAGGTCTTTCAAGACCGGTGTTATATGGTCTCGGCAGCCGCTCCCAGTCACCAGTCTAGCTGCCACATTCTGGATTAGTTGTAGTTTCCGGGTCACCTTCAAAGGTAGCCCCACGTAGAGCGCATTGCAGTAGTCCAAGCGGGAGATAACCAGAGCATGCACCACTCTGGCAAGGCAGTCCGCAGGCAGATAGGGTCTCAGCCTACGTACCAGTATCACCCAGCAAATAAATACATTCACCCCTTGGCTTCCAGTAGAGCTGTGTGACACAGGAAGAGGCTCAGAGGGTCATGGGGGGGGGGGAGAGAGAGCGCTCCAGGATCATGCTGAATGTTTAGGGCACATCCGTGAGGGGTTGCAGGTGCATTATCCACAGGCTCAGGTGTCCATTTCAGCAATGTGGTATGAATTCACATATCTAGTACAAGCTGCATAACACACCAGAGGGGTAATTAAAATACGTAAGGAGAATCATAAATACGCCACGAAAGAGATGCCTTGAGCAAATGTTCCAGTTTATGTGAAAGAGGACTTTTTAAAACCCTTGTTGTTGTAATTGGGTCTGGAGAGAAATGACAGCAGGTAAAACGACAATGCAGTGTAAACATTAGTGTGCTCTTAACGAAATACAGTGGTACCTCGGGTTAAGTACTTAATTCGTTCTGGAGGTCCGTTCTTAACCTGAAACTGTTCTTAACCTGAAGCACCACTTCAGCTAATGGGGCCTCCTGCTGCCGCCGCGCCGCCAGAGCACAATTTCTGTTCTCATCCTGAAGCAAAGTTCTTAACCCGAGGTACTATTGCTGGGTTAGCGGAGTCTGTAAACTGAAGCGTATGTAACCTGAAGCGTATGTAACCCGAGGTACCACTGTATAACGGTATCATGCTCCTACTTTGGTGCTAAAACAGAAGCACAAGAAAATAAAAACTGCGTGTAAGACAACCTGTGCTGGCAGTGCTCATGCAGAAGGGCCTGCACAGGGTATCAAGCTCAAGACCAGTGTGGGGTTGAGAAGAGATGTTCAGTGATTTGTGGAGATTGGAGGGACATTTGCAATGCAGCCTAAGTGGCCTGGGCAGATGCACGCCTTCCAGAGCACAATATATATTCTTTCCCTCCAATATGTCAAGATTTGCTACTTTACTGCTCCACTAACACTAAAAAACTTGGCTTAGATGGCAGATGTAAACAGGTTCTTGTTCACAGATACTAGAACACACACCCTCTCTTCAGGTAAAATTGTTAAAAACATGATCTTCAGTATTTTCTTCCTGTCTGCTTGCCTTTCTTCCCAGCAGATAAGACTGAATATTCCAGCAAGCTATAGTCTCCACTGCCCCCTTTTCCGTTACGGTGGAAGGCCAGATTGCTTACACCAACACACAGTCATTATGAGTTGCATGCATCAGCCTGTGTTTCTGGCTCTTCCCCCCAGCACCATGGGCAAGTCTGTGCAGAGTGTAAAAAGCTTCCAAAAACAAATATCATGTGCCCACACAATGCTCACTAACAGTAAGTCTGCACTGCAGCATGTTTGGTACATGGAAACATTCAGGCACAAACCGTTGGTGCCATGCTCAAACTTCCTTGTGTGTGCCGATGTTCTAGAGATGCAGCAGGCCAGAGGCATAGACATCTATACTGCTCTAGGCAACTCACTTTCACAGGGTTATCATTACATGAGCATGTGATTTCTCTCTTTTCAGTTCAAAGTGCCTTGTGTGTGGATTGGTTTTTTTGAATGGAATCAGTAGCTTTGAAAATGAGCCTGAAGGTCTGCAGCACAGGCCAGATAGCAATGGTCACTGCATCCACAGCTACAAGAGCATGGCTGCAAGTGAGCCAGTACTTTCTCCCATCGTCTCTTTGTTCCACAGAAGAGCTCTCGCAAGGCCTTCCCCCTAAGGTCACTTCTCACGCAGCACACAAACACCAGCATCACACCCTTGGGTTTCCAGGGATGTCAGCCCAGCTGCCAATGATAGGGTTATAGCACTCAGTACTGCTCAGAAGCAGGTTCCCATCGTACCCTGCTATGGCATAAAGCTGTCCCTCAGGACTGTTGCTCCCACATAACAGCGGGGAGGGGGGTCATGCTGGTCACAGTTGTCCACGAGTCTGTGCAAATGTTATACGCCTCCACAGAGGAGAGATGTGCTGTTCCATCAAACCCTCCAACCACATAGACATGATCATTCAGCAAGGCTCTTGAGTGTTTTGTGGCCATTGGGGTGACATTTGTCCAGTCTGCTCCATCTGAATCAGAAGAGGTGCTTGAGATGTTAGCCCAGGGCTTGGAGGCGCTGATGGGCTGGATGCAGGCTGGTAAACTGAGGCTGGTGTTTACACAGAGCTGACTGGTCTCAGCCAGAAGCTGCGCATTTTGTACGTCCAGTCCCATGGTGTGGAACACTCTTCCAGCAAGGATCCAGCAGGCACCCTTGCTTTTCACTTCCAACAGTCTCACCAAGACCTTTCTGTTCCACCAAGCCTTGGCAGCTGTTCGGTTTTTAATTAATGATTATCTGTATTTTGATATTTTTAAATATTTTTTTAATTGTGTTTTATGTTTTAACACCACCCCAATATTTTATGATACGGCTGTATAGAAATGCTTTTATGAATAACTGAGGCTTGTTGGAGTTCAAACATATTAGATTGGGGTGTTTGGAAGGAAGGAAGCACCATCTGAGGTGCGGTGGGTGGTGACCAGGGAAGGGGCCTTCCCTGTATTGGCCCCCTGCTTGCGCCTCCCTAGCGAGGCTCACAGGGCGCCAACTTTGTAATGTTTCCAGTGCCAGACAAACACCTTTTTGCTGTCCTGGGCTTCTTAAAGTTTGAGTTTCATTGTAAACTGCTATTTCAGTTGCTGGTCTTACAGACTGTTTTTTCTGTTATTTATCATTGATATTCCTGTTGCTTTACTTAAAAAAAAAATGCCTGGAAACCATCTGGTTGGAAGACAGTATATAAATGTTTTAAAATAAACAGGCAAGTGGGTCTTCATCTCTCTCCTTTTCCAGTTTGCCTGAAACCATTCTCTTCTGTGTCTTTTCCAGAGAGATCACCTCACCGGCCTATCTTACAAGCTGGGCTCCCGGCTAACAAGACCGTCTCCCTGGGTAGCAACGTTGAATTTGTTTGCAAAGTCTACAGTGACCCTCAGCCCCACATCCAGTGGTTGAAGCACATTGAGGTCAATGGGAGCAAGATTGGGCCAAATAACTTGCCTTATGTGCAGGTCTTGAAGGTAAAAGAAAACCCCACTATCTCAAGTGATGGGTGACATTTTTGTTAACATGGGGCTTGTTTCCACTGCCTTGGGAGGGAGACATGTAAGGTGGCTACAAGCAAGGGACAAGACCGTTTTAAATTGATGCTGCAGGATAATCTATTTCCAATTGGTTGATCAGCCAGACTAAGTCAAGCCAGCTCAGTCTGGGTCCAAGTTCCCCATTGTGAGATTTCTACAGCAAAGCATGCAAAAGAAAAATAGCTGTGGGAGGGTACTGAATTTGGCCATTCCCAACCAAAGGAGTACGGCTGGGATGCCAAAGCACAGCATAGCACCAGCTGACCTCATTCAGATACAACGCCTAAGCATGCTTTAGCCCCAGGTGAAGAGGCCTAGCCTGCAGTTCCCTCTTCCCCAACCATGTGGCCAGGAAGATTAACTTGAAAGCTTCTGCTTGTATTTAACTCCAGGTTGTTGTTTTGCCTGAACCAGGATTTATGGTTTAGCTCTCACTGTGGTTTTAAAACAATACAACTTCAAACTTTGAGTTATGAAGCTATAATAGAGTTAAAACACTATCCCTGCTTCAGATGGAACAAAAAGCTGGCATTAACTAAAAGTGGGAGCAAAAGTCCTTCCTGAAGTTTTACAATCCCCCATAGGGAGGAGGATGTGAGTCTTATGTGGCGCTGTTTACTGTTACATGCAGTTGCCATAAGGCTAGGGAAGAACTGGTGGCACACCAGTAACTTCTCCAAATATAAACAGAGCAGATATGGTTCTGCTGGTGCTGTGGAGGATGGGTTCAGAATTTAATTTATAGCCTTCAGCGAGTTTGTTTTTTTAAATTGCATACCGCCCTACACCCCCAGGTCTCAGGGCAGTTCACAGGATAAAATCACAATATAAAATCACAAAATACATAATCAGAATAAAAACAAGGACAACCTAATAACACATTTTAAAAGGGCATTGAATGTCAGTCAGCCAAAGGCCTGGTTAAAGAGGAGTGTTTTTGCCTGGCACCTGAAGGTGTACAATGAAGGCACCAGGCGAACTTCTCTGGGGAGAGCATCCCACAATATGTTGCCACAACTCACATTTGCCTCATGTGCTTGCTCTGCTATTTATAGCTGTGCAAAAGCTCAAATCCCATGCCTTGGGCTTCTGACAGTGAGCAGAATCCAACCTGGTTGTGATACTAAAACCTGGTCATCAAGAGACATCTGTGCCTTTTAAACACTTTACAGTAGGTTTATTGAAGGAATGCTAAGCACCTTAAAGAGGAGAATTGGGTAGAAAAATGGGGGTTAGTGCATTGCTTTTGAACCAATTTATCCCAGCAAACAGGGCCAAAATGTGAGTGTTAAGACAGAGATTTTTATGCATGAATAAAACCTCATTTAAGCTAATTTGAATGCCACCAAAATGATATTATAAAATAGTTTAAAGTACTTTTAATCACAAGCTAGCGGTTAGTATGCCCAACAAAAGAGTATTGTGGCTTTCATGTTTGTTTACTTTTTATGATGTATCTAAAACATGTCTTATTCTATGACATAAATGGTATACTGGTTTTTTATATATGCTAAAAATTAACAAGTAAAAAGGCTTGGTTTGGAGGGGTTTTTGAACTGTAAAGCACTTAGCAAGTTCTCCAGGTTCTAGCATCTGGTGAACTTGGCCCTGCCATACAGCTATTAAGTACTGCTGCTCCTTTAGATGTGGGAGGGGTGCAGTTTGTGCCCCCAGGAGATATCCTTGCAGCGAGAGGGGGCGGGATGGGCAGAGAGCTTGAGTTCCCCCCACCTCTGGCTTGTGGGCACAGGGAGATGCCCACTTGATTGTTGCTGTTGATCATGGAGCGACGTGCCCGTCCGTTGGCTATTGAGTGACTCCTGTGTTGTTGGTCTTGTTCTAGAGCTCGGGAATTAATAGCTCCGATGCGGAGGTGCTGACCCTGTATAATGTGACAGAGGCTGAGAGTGGGGAGTATGTTTGTAAGGTTTCCAATTATATTGGTGAGGCTAACCAGTCTGCGTGGCTGACCGTCACCAGACCCATGGCTGAAGGTAAACGGGGAGAACGCCACTTTGGGGCTCTTGCTTGAATGGCCAGTCCTTCGTGGTGGGAAAACCAAACTCTTGTGGCTCTCCTGTTTCTTCTCTGTTTCTGGTGCAGTAAGCCATGGAAAAATCCTCAGAAGGGGCTGGTCAGTTTAGTTTCATGCCCTTCCCCGTTCCTCATTTTAACAGATCATTCCCTTCTTTGAGCTTTCTTAACCTTCTATCTATATTAATTCAGCCAATATAAGAAAACATCCCCCAGATTCTTTTGCTGAAACATCAAGCTAAACTTTATTGCATTGGCTTCTCTGTATTTTTCTTACAAAGGCTGCCGGAGAAACGCTTTGATCGCCTGATAGGTAACCAGCTAATTACATTGATTTTAGTATTGTAAAAATCTAAATATAGGTGTCCTTTTGAGACAGCAAAATCAAAGCCACATAAAAATGCATGTCCATACCATTTAATTGTGCAGCCCTGCCAATTTTAAACTGGCTGTCACCAATTAATTGACCTACCAATTAAAGTCTGGAAACCTGAGTTTTTTGCATATCTGATTTTGGGTTCTTGGAGTACCCTTGCTCTCCCCGGCAAAATAAAAAAAGGTAATTTCTTTTTCATGACTCTGTTTACAGGAGCATGGCCTCTCCCCCTAGTGCTCTGTCACTTCTTGACCCAGACCTTGCTCCCTTTTCTTTTCTTTCTTTTCTTTCTTTCTTTTCTTTTCTTTTCTTTTCTTCCCATCTCCCTTCCACCATTATTCCTCTTCCCATCCCATGAAACTAAGCTGGTTCTTCCCCCCACCTAAGGTTAGTTTTTCCATGTGGCCCATCGCCAGCATGTCAGATGGGCAGGGAAATTCAGTTTGGTGAAGGGTTGTTGTTTTAACATTGCCTCTTTAGGTCAGCCTGGATTGGAGGTTGTCCTAAGGCTCTCTGTTGCAATATGTCTGCAGTGGTGTCTGTGTTCCTTAGGAGGTCTTGGGGGCATGTTATCCCTTCCCTCTTCCTCCTCCTGCACCTTGGTTCCTAAAGGGGTCTTACGTTTGCTCGTCCTATTTTCCTTTTTTTTCTTTCTCTCTCCCCCTTTGCTTCCATTTTTTCCCCTTTCTAGACGGCTGGTGTTAACACAACAGACAAGGAAATGGAAGTCCTTCACTTAAGGAATGTCTCCTTTGAGGATGCTGGGCAGTATACATGTTTGGCGGGTAATTCTATTGGGATCTCCCACCACTCTGCATGGTTGACGGTTCTGGAAGGTATATACTGGTTCTGTTCCTTTCTCTGCCTCCTTGCTGTCCTCTTCTATGCATGGAGATGAGCACGCTGTGGTCCGCAAGAGCCACCCCCAAGATGGCAGAGTCGTCCCACAAATTGGTTCCTTCCTAGAGGAAGGGTTGCTTAGCAACAAATATGATTGGAGCTTGGCAATTGAGATATCCCTGGTGTGACAGTCAGTGAGCCATCTGCCCTATTGTGGTCCCATTTTCCTTCTCTGCGGAATTGGGATGGTCCATCTCCACATCTGGTGGCTCTTGCTGACCAAGGCATGGTGAATTTCCAGTTTGGGCTTAACCAGAAGTGAGGTCCAGATGTTCCGACAGAGCTGGTTCCATTCTCTTGGGCAAGATCAGTCTCTCCTTGCACTTTGCTGCCTTCTCAGCAAGGAGTTCTAAAACAGAACCCCACCTGTGCCCAGTGGACCTGTGTGGATGCATTGGGGGAGATCATGGACCACCCACATACTGCAGTTAGGGGTAGCAGAGCTAGGTGTTTTGGGATTCCAGGTTTCCAGTGTCAGATACAGGTCTCCATATATACAGCCTCCTATTTGGACCTCACTCCCAGCCCAGATTTTCAATTTTAAAGTGGGGTCAAAAGGCAGCTATTGGACTGCAGTCAGTATAACTGGGTACTTGTGGATCCACCAGAGTAGGCTTATTTGATGGTGCTGAAAATTAGGGGTGCAGCTCCTCCTCTCACACACTTTTTCACAGAGCTTCTACTTACTCATTCCTGGGACTTGAGTGTGGTCTGGCAATTGATTTGTCTATGTTTTGGAAATGTTCAAAACTTCGCAGTTGACACAGGAGTCTCACTATGATGATGTTCCAGTTGTAGAACCAAAGGCTTGTGCAACTAGCTATCTTAGGGTAGCTTCCCCTTATATCCATACATCTGTGCAAAGAAAACCGATGTAGTTCATACAAGCAGACACCCCCACACTGATAGGTGGCTATTTTTCCTCCTGGTGACAGGAAGTCTGTAGAGGGGGCCTTCAAACCCATATTGCTTGTGGGTTACTGCAAAAAGGGGATAAAATAAATCATGCACAAGCCTTGGGGAGCTTGGGTGAAGATGACCCTTTTCTTAACTGGATTCATCTCTCTGTGAGGTGGCTGTGATAAAATGGGCACACTCTGGATTCCAGTCCCCCAAGAACTGAGACTAGGAAATGGGCTCCCCAATATCTGCTTGCTTTCCCATAAGATCCCGAATATGGCTTTGTTTTCTTGGTGGTCTTGCCTTGAAAGGGAATGGAATCTGGCCTTTGCTTAATTTGAAGTCTCTGCTATTCTTCCTGCATTCTCTTTTGGATTCTACTTTGCATAAACTGCTGTTTTGTGGGCTCTTGTTCCACCCTGCTTGGTTGATGCAGGGCTCATTTTTCAGCCATCAAAAGCTGGCTGGCAAGAACTGGTAATGTTCAACTTCAGAAAGTTTTTGAGGTCATGTGCTATTTGTACACCTACAAGGAAAAAAACTTTCTGTGTTATCAGTCTTTTGTTTTCCTTGTCAAGCCTGTTTCCACTCAGAGCCCTGTGATCTGAACAGGGCAAGATGGCAGCCGTTTCCTTCCAACAACATGCTCTATCCATCTTCTCTCTGTTGCTTATTGTTTTTTCTAAGAGTGGGAGGACTAAAGTGAGGGAGGGAACATCCTTTTTTCATCTCTTTCTCTTCAAATTGCAGCTCCAATGCCCTCTCCAAAACAAGTTCAGAAAAATGTTTCTGGCCTTGACACAGGCTTTGCACTTTCTCACTAAGAGTTCTCTCTTTGCAAACAAGCATTAAGCTGATGCTGATACAACTAGGAAGACCCCAGGTGAAAGCGCTTTGTATTTGACAGGCCTGCTGAGAACGTTTCTGGGCAAAACCTGCAAGAGATGGTTCAACAGAGCAAACAACAGAATCTGACACATTTGACTCATCTCCTGCAAGCATTACTCATGTAGTTCTGAAAGGTTTGGCAGGCAGCTGTGATGTGGTCCTCAACACTCCTTGGCTTTTACAAAGAAATAGGTTGGGAAATCACAAACAGAGTTCAGCAACACACACACACACACACACACACAAACACAAGCCTCATTTTGCACCTGTTCTGTTTTGACTCCCACTTGCCACTCCATGAAATTTCTTATTTGGAGCACACCTGTAGCCCCAGAATTCTCTGGCCTCCGTTAACATGCAAGCCAGCCTTTGCCACCCAGGTATCCTCCAGGAACTTTGGGCTTCTGCTCCCACCAGTCGTGTTGCTTGAGGCAGATGGAAACTATCCTCCAAAACATCTGGAGGGGACCCAGTTGGCAAAGGCTAGAAGAAGTAGATACACCCATGAAAGCCCCTTCTTTGCTGCTTCCAGTTTCCTTGGCCTTTCTCTTGAGGAGGAGTATAAAGACCATTTTTATTCTCCCAATTAATATTCACCCAAGTGGATGAGGTTGGGGAATCTTTTTCAGCCCAAGGGTCACATTCTTTCTGGGCCACATTCTAGTGTGGAGGCAGTGTTGAAGACAAAAATAAGCAGAACAGTGAATTTAGCATTTACATTTGTAAATTTACATTTACCCCTTCTCTCAGCCTTGCCGATGGTGTCCAATGGAAGGCAGAGCAAGATGTTTGGCATCAGCTTGGCTGCAGGAATTGCCAGAAAGAGGCATACAAGGTGCCATCCAACCGTCTTAGGGACTCCACTCTGAATGTGTGTACGGTTTACTCCTGAGCCTTTTCTTCTCCTGAAGATATTCTGCAAGGCACTGGAGGCTTAGGATATCAGAGAGTTCCTTCTTCCTAGGTTGATAAGCCATCTGCCCCTCACTTCCCTTTATAGCATGGGCAGAAACCGCCTTCTTGACTGTTGGACCCACTCTTGGTCTCATCTGCTCAATCTGCCAGTGCCTGTCTTTGCATGCAGGGGAAGACCCTGACTCCCCGAGGGTTTGAGACCCATTGAGCATCCTCACTTGGTTTGACCAGTCAGTTGCAGCTGTTCTCGGATTGTGGCCGCTGTTGCATGCTGACAGCTTCTAGGAGCCGCAGGTGAGAGCTGAGTGAGAGCAGGGTGGGGATCAATGGCAAGACAAACTACCCCAGAAGGAGCATGGCATGTCTCTCACTGGAGGTACTACCCCTCCCCTAACACCCCATACACCCACTGAAATGAATGAACCTAAGTAATTTCCATTAAGTTCAGTGGGTCTACACTTATTAGGACTAGCTACTCAGCTCTGCAGCTGGAAAAGATAACCCAAAGCAGCTTACAGTGCTCAGTAATAAGTCTGTCCATTCTCCCAGACTTGCAGTCCAAAAGACACAAAACAAAAGGAAAAATGGATTGATGAAGACAAGGCAAAAAGCAAGCTCAGGCACTGATTATTAGATGCAGGGTTCTTTTGCTGTTCTTTCTGGGAGGGAGTGACAAGGCAAACTCCCTGCAGCTGCTTCCTCTCTGGCTGACACATGTTGCCTGCTTGGTCTCAGGTGCCCTTAAAAAGGATAATCTTTAATACATAAGAAGATTTTGTTCATAGAGCACCTTCATCATGTTTAGTTCTAAACAATGAAGTCAATGCTTGTCTGCAGGAAGTGCTAGGAATCTACTAGGGATGCTGAATTCCATGTGGTCCATGCTGGATCCTGTCCCATAAGAGACTGGGATCCTAGAGAAGGAAACTCATGAAGGCGCTTTGGTTTGGGATCCCCCTTTTGCCTAGAGTTTGTCTATTTTTAGAAGCCAGGGTGGGGGCTGCAGAAGTGGCTGCTTGCAAAAAGGGCATGCCCTTCTTCCTGCTTCAGCTCGCACATCCATTTCTCTTCTGCATTATTTGGGGAGCACATCTGGCTGCCACAGGAAGTGAGGGCAGACAACACCTGGCACCTTTAGAAGTTAAGTAAAGCTGCTTTTTCTCTCCACTTTTCTCTATCTCCTTGACCCCCGTAGTGGTGTTTTTTTATGGTGGTGTTTTTAGTTGCTGCTGCCTAGTGTGCTGATTCTTTCTTTGCACCAATCCAGCTATTGAAGACAAGCCAGCTATGATGGCCTCCTCTCTGTACCTGGAGATCATCATTTACTGCACAGGGGGCTTCCTCATCTCCTGCATGATTGTGACCGTCATCATATACAAGATGAAGAGCACCACAAAGAAGTCGGATTTCAACAGCCAGCTGGCTGTGCATAAGCTGGCCAAGAGCATCCCCTTGCGCAGACAGGTAACAGAAAGTAGATGGGGGGTTTGATTGTCTCCTACCCCCCTTCCCGCAAGAGCCTTGCCTCCATGCTGAGCAAAGCTCACTAGGTCTAATTCAGGGGTTGACAACCTGTGGCCCTCCAGGTGTGGCTTGATTCCAACTCACATCAGCACCAGCAAACATGGCCATTGGTCTGGTAGCCCAGCAACATCTGGAAAGCACCAGGTTGGCTATTCCTGATGTGGATGAACTCCCTAGGGCAGTGTTGGGGAACACGACTACAACTCCCATCACCCCTGACCCGTTGGCCATGCTGCTTGGGAGTCTAATGAGAATTGGAGTCCAGTCACATTGGAAGGGGAAACAGAGAAGCAGGTGATGCCTGTGACACAACTGCTTGCCTAGTATGGTCAGCATAGATCAGAGCTGGGCATGCTGTGGCTTAAGGCACTCCAGATGAGGTCAAAGGAGGCCTGCAGAACTTGTGACCCACCAAGAGGAATTCTCTGTTGCTACAGCCCACCAGGGCCCAGATTTAAATCTCTGTTTTGCTGCCCATTAGAAACTGCAACATTAAAATGGTTGTCAAGCAGCAGACTGGTAGGCTGTGTTAAGTTTGGTGGGTTACAAATGTGCAAGCCAATAGCAGAGAGTTCCGCTATCTGTTCTGGCTCCTAGGAGGCTCAGCTGCAGTTCCTGGGGGCCAGAAAGACAAGAACAATGTGCAAATGACATACCCTGGCCTCTTTCCAAGTCCTTCTCCCAGCCACAATCAGCAGAACCAAGGAGTGGAGGAGGAGGAGGCAATGGCTGCTGGAAAGAGAGGCGTGGGGAAAATCCATTCTCCCTTGAGGCACCCAGAACTACCTGTGTGCTGGCCCCTTTCTGCAGCAGAACCTGCTGTGGTCTGAATTACGCAGGTTGCTCCATGAGATGTGGTATGTAGGCTACCCTGCATCTAAACAGCGTTAGAGTATCTGGTCTTCTGGTGACTTCCTCATTCTTTGTTTGCCGTGTGTCTGGGCCAGAAGGCCCAACCGTGCTGGTTGTGAGACAGAGAGGTCACAAGGGAGGCAAGTGCAGGAGAAAGAAGCAGTAGCAACCAAGATCTGCTTCTTTGAGGCAGGAGCAGAGAAAAGAAGGCATAGTCATAATTGTTACTATAGTCATTTACACCACACTTTTAATAAACTGCATGCAGCTGTTGCAATCCTGACCTCATCATGTAACAAAAGTAAAAACAAGCCTAGGTTCTGTGCCATGGAAAACGGAATCCTGTAGCCAGTATAATGTAATGCAAATTAAACAGATTTGCATATACCCCTCCCCCAGCCATTGAAACCATAATGCCTAGCAGCTTGTTTTGAAAAGTTAGCTCAAAAATTTCTGGATGCTGAATACAAAATTCAGCATTTCCACAGTGCAGATTACAAAATGCAGGGGAGCCCTGATGACTGGGCTCTCTGAATTTTGACATGGCCATAGGAGGATGACAGGGACTGGGTAGGGCTGTGAGGTAATATTCCCACACTATTCTGCTTTGGTCAGACTCCACCTGGAGTCCTGTGTCCAGTTCTAGGCACCACAGTTTATGGAGGATATTGACAAGCTGGAAGGTGTGCAGAGGAGGACAACCAAAAGGCTCAAGGGTCTGGAAACCAAGCCTGATGAGGAACAGTTGAGGGAGCTGATTATGTTTAGCTGGCAAAAGAGGACACTGAGAGGTGACAGGATAGCCATCTTCAAATCTCTAAAGGGCTGTCACATGGAACCAAGAAGTTACAAGAAAGGAGATTCCAACTAAACACCAGGAAGAACTCTCTGACAGTAAGAGCAGTTTGACAGTGGAACAGACTCCCTCCGGAGGTGGTGGACTCTCCTTCCTTAGAGGTTTTAAAGCAGAGGTTGGATGGCTTTCAGTCATATATATTCAGATTCCAGCATTGCAGGTGGTTGGACTAGGTGACCCTTGGAGGTGACCCATATTCTATGATTCTGTGGTACTTTTGCAAGCCCTGAGTGAGCAAAGTTTGTTTACAGCAGCAAGGTCCCAGGACAGATAAATATAGTCTCCTTGGAGGTGAGCAACTCTTCTCCCTACCAGAGCTGAACTCATGGGGTCTTTTTGCCGAAGGTAACTTCCACTCTTCCCACTGCAGGTATCAGCTGATTCAAGTTCTTCCATGAACTCTGGTGTGATGCTTGTGCGCCCCTCACGGCTTTCCTCCAGTGGGATCCCAATGCTGGCAGGTGTCTCTGAATACGAGCTGCCAGAAGACCCCCGTTGGGAGCTTCCCAGAGACAGGTAACAAACTCTACTCTTTCTCAGCCAAGCAGGGATGTCTGACACCTTTTCTGCTCTGTGCCCTCAGATACTGGTGAGGAAGAAGTTATTGTGTTTGTTGGCTTGGGGTCCATTCTCTTTTTTCATTGTATCCGTTGGAAAAGGCCAGTGCTCATGACGGTGTTTTGGTCCTCTGGGGACCAGAAATTTCAGAAGCAGAGCAAGAAAAGCTCTAGTAATGTTGTATTTCAAAACAAGGCAGAGAATTGCAGATACTATGAAAGTGGTAGCATCTCTCACCATTGTAGGTGACAGAATATTATTCCACAGAAAGTGTAGCAGATTCCCATTTATCTATTGATAACAAAGTACTTTGGAGCCAGGATGAGGGAGGGCTTCTCACCCACAATTCCAAGCAGGGGTGGGAAACCTCCCTGGCCCTCAAGTCTCTCCAGGCCATGCTACTTCAGCCACAACCTGCCTCCCCAGACCCTCCCCAGCCCTACTTCATACCCCCATTGGTGCTTTTTCCTGGCTCCAATGTGCCTTTGAACTCTGACCATGCCTCTTGGTTCCTGGCTGGAGGATAGAGAGGGTTGTGCGAGTGTGTGTTGAAACTAGCCTGCTCTACAGAGGTAACATGCACATTTCTTGCTTTGCCCACTTTTCCTCTGACCCTGAGAAAATTGCCCAGATGAGAAGGTGGTCCTCAGTCTGAAAAAGGTTTCCCATCCCTGATTTAAAGGGGCAGGAGGCCGGATAATGTATCTCTTAAAGTCTCATCTGGTTTGGCCCTTCTTTTGATGTGATATACAGTGGTACCTCGGGTTACAGATGCTTCAGGTTACAGACTCCGCTAACCCAGAAATAGTACCTCGGGTTAAGAACTTTGCTTCAGGATGAGAACAGAAATCGTGCTCCAGCGGCGTGGCGGCAGCAGGAGGCCCCATTAGCTAAAGTGGTGCTTCAGTTTAAGAACAGTTTCAGGTTAAGAACGGACCTCCAGAACGAATTAAGTACTTAACCCGAGGTACCACTGTAGATGGAAGGGCAACTAGCAAGATCATGTGCTGCTAATGTAATTCGGAGTCACTTTACAACTGGTTCGAATGAGCAGGTGTGTCTCACCAGGGATATGATTAACCTCCTGTTTTGGCTGCTGCCTGCCTAGGACTGTAAAAACAAACAGGCTGACTTTAGCATGTAAAAAAAACAAAACAAAAAACTCTACACACAGAAAAACAGTATATCAGAGAAAACACTAGGCTGAAACCTTCCCCCTGGCATGATAGTTTTGGGTGTGCATGGTAGGTTGTTGTTTTTAGAAGGGAACATTCAGGCATGTATCCCTTCCCTGTAGCCTAAAGTGGTATAGTCCTGCAAAAGTTTTACCAGTTGACTGCTGATTTGTAATAACCAGCTCTTTAAACAATTGCTTAACTTGTGCTTAAGGAAAGTGGAATTACTAAGTTATTCTTTCCCCACTTTGTGGAGTCAGTACCTGAACTGTTCAATTCTGAACTTTCATTGTAGTCCAGGGATGGGGAACATGTGACCTGTCAGACATTGGACTCCCAAGTCCATCAACTCCAGCCAGCATGGCCAGTGGTCAGGGATGACGAGGCCACAAGTCCCCCATCCCATCTTACAGCCACGGGTTTTCCAGAAAACTGGAAAACTGCAATATCTTGCCACTCTTCAACATTTTCATTATCAGAACGCAAAAATACCACTTACAGCTGCGTCTGAAGGGTAAAATTCCATCCCAACCACAAATTACCGTATTTTTCGCTCTATAAGACGCACCAGACCACAAGACGCACCTAGTTTTAGGAGGAGGAAAACAAGAAAAAAAATATTCTAAATCTCAGAAGCCAGAACAGCAAGAGAAATTGCTGCGCAGTGAAAGCAGCAGGTCCCTCTTGCTGTTCTGGCTTCTGGGATAGCTGCGCAGCCTGCATTCGCTCCATAAGACGCACACACAGTTCCCCTTACTTTTTAGGAGGGAAAAAGTGAGTCTTATAGAGCAAAAAATACGGTATTACAGTGGTACCTCGAGTTACAAACGTCTCAGGTTACAAATGCTTCAGGTTACAAACTCCGCTAACCTGGAAGAGTTACCTCGAGTTGAGAACTTTGCCCCAGGATGAGAACGGAAATCATGTGCTGGCGGCGCAGCAGCAGCAAGAGGCCCCATTAGTGAAAGCACGCCTCTAGTTAAGAACAGTTTCAGGTTAAGAACAGACCTCTGGAGCGAATTAAGTTCATAACCAGAGGTGCCACTGTAGGTCCAGATTGTCAAAGCCAGAACCATCTACAAGAAGAAAGAAATTTCTGTTGGGTGTTGAGCCAAGGGCAAGTGAGGACTTGGAGCTGAAGAGGGGCAGCCTCCCTGCCATCACCTCCTTTCTCTGCTCTCCTCTAGGCTGATTCTGGGCAAACCTCTGGGGGAAGGCTGCTTTGGGCAGGTGGTGCTTGCTGAGGCCATCGGGCTAGACAAAGACAAGCCAAACCGAGTGACCAAAGTGGCAGTGAAGATGCTCAAATGTAAGTAACGGCTTTCCTGTAGCTTCTCTTCAGGCTGCTCCGTGTTTCCTTCCAAAAGACCTGCATGTGTCCTTTGTCCCAAGGGCCTCTTGAAGAACAACAGCTGACTTTCTGCCATTGAGGGGCTTAAGTCTGCGTTTTTAACTTTTGGAAATATTTTCATCTATTCACATTTGTTATGTTCATCCGTTGATGATTGCAATATCAGGTGACTGGCGTGTCCCAAAATGGGTTTCATAGCTTGTACCAAAAAGGGCAGTGAATGATCCCATCCCTTCCTTAAGAGCAGGGATGGGGGGAACTTAGACCCAGGGGCCAAATGGAGTCCTCCAGGGCACACCCCTCAACTGCCCCACTTTGCTGCCTCCTCCTTAATTGCTTTTGTTTGCCTGGAATGTGTCCAGACAAACCACAAGGAGCAAACTCATGACTTGTCTGGAACAAGGCAGACTATAAGCCTAGGTCCAGACCACATGCTAAGCCAAACCATAACTGCTCACTGCAGGGTCTGAGGAGGAGCAAAGTAGTTTTGATTTCCTCCCTGAGCACCTACATGCTTCTGCCAAGCCAAGGTTTTGCTTTGTGTTACATATAAACAGGATAACGGCAAGACTCTCTAGTTCAGTTGAAAGAAAATGCATTCACATAGGCAATCCTGTGTCCAAATAGGTATCCAAACAAGACTGATGATTAAATTCTACACCTATATTAATTAAACAATTAAATCAAGATGGATAGAATATTTTTGCCATTAAGGCCAGCTTAATGATGTTTATTTGTTCCCTTCGGAATAAGTAAATAAAAAGTTTTTTTAAATGAGAGAAAAGAAAGAAAATGCATAAAAACATTTCTGTATGTAGAAATATCACCAACTGAAACATCATGGCTCTGCTTGCCACTACTCCAGGTTTTTTAAAAATATATTTCTTTATATGTGCCTGCTGGCCAAGAGGTTTATGTATCTATCCAAATTATGATATCATAGAAGAGAAATGTGTTCTGAAGCTTCCACAAGCCATGTTTCCATTCCTCTGAACTCTCTGGTTGGCAGCTACATTTTAAAAGGTAAAGGTAAATGTACCCCTGCCCGTACGGGCCAGTCTTGCCAGACTCTGGGGTTGTGCGCCCATCTCACTCAAGAGGCCGGGGGCCAGCGCTGTCCAGAGACACTTCCGGGTCACGTGGCCAGCGTGACATCGCTGCTCTGGCGAGCCAGAGCCGCACACGGAAACGCCGTTTATCTTCCCGCTAGTAAGCAGTCCCTATTTATCTACTTGCACCCGGAGGTGCTTTCGAACTGCTAGGTTGGCAGGCGCTGGGACCGAGCAACGGGAGCGCACCCCGCCGCGGGGATTCGAACCGCCGACCTTTCGATCGGCAAGCCCTAGGTGCTGAGGCTTTTACCCACAGTGCCACCCGTGTCCCTACATTTTAGAATTACTTAATTGGTGTTCCATTTATATCCTGCTCTGCTGTGGGGCTCCCAGTGTGCTCCCCTCCAAGGGAGCAGCTGCCCAAGTCCACAGCTGCTTTGCTTCAGGGGTGCTGTCGCCTGAGATGCTCCCCACTTGGCCTATGGATCCCACGCTTGCTTTTCCTTCAGGGCCACGCATCTTGAGAAAGGCATGGAGAGGGGCAGTAGAATCATACAGTTGGGAGGGACTTCAGAGCTGGTCTTATATTCAGACCCCCTATCAGTATTGAATACCCACTGCTGCAGCATCCCTGATAGCCTCCATCCGACCTCTACTTAAAAACTGCTGAGATCTTCCAAGGCAGCCTGCTCCAAATAGCTCACACCATCAGAACATTCTTCCTAAGGTTTTGTATAAATCCTGTTTTCCTGTCATTTGAACTCATTGGCTCATGTCCTACCCACTAGAGTGACTGAAAACAAATTTTCTCCCCATCTTCTTTTCCCCTTCAAATATCTGAGGATGGATATCAAATCACCTTCACCATCTCTTATCTCTAAGCTAAACATACCCAAACCCTTCCGTTTTGCTTTCCTGGGCATGTTCCAGTTTGCTGACACCTTTATTACATGGCCACTTTTCTCTCCTTTGTCTCTATCGAAGGGCCAGGCACTACTTTTTTTGGGGGGGGGGCAGGAGCCTTAGCTGCTGATTCCTTTTTGAGCCACTCTTAATCTTGACCTGCCAGCACCAATGTCTTTTTCTTCCTCAGCCGACGCCACGGAAAAAGATCTGTCTGACTTGATCTCTGAGATGGAGATGATGAAGATTATTGGCAAGCACAAGAACATCATCAATCTCCTGGGAGCTTGTACTCAGGATGGTGAGGGCTGAGCACTTCTTTTGAGGGAAGAAGTTGTGGTTCCGTGGAAGAGCAGAGGACGGCAGAATGTCCCCAGTTAAAAATAGCTGAAAGTGTTTCTGTTTAAGGACAAGCCTATCCATTAGTTAAATGTGTTTTGTCTCTTTTTAGCTTCTGTTGATTTTTATCATCTCTTGAAAGTTTAATCATCTCTTGAATGTTACCTGTTCTTAGCTGTTTTTATTGAGAATTTTTAAAAAATCATCTTTTTTTTTTTGTTAGCCACTTAGAGGTTTTCTTACAAAAAGGTACCGTATTTTTCCCTCTATAACACACAGATTTTTTCTCCTAAAAAGGAAGGGGAAATGTCTGTGCGTGTTATAGAGCGAATGTGTGGTCCCTGGAGCCAAAAAATCAGGCAAAAGTCAAATTGTGAGTCACAGAGAAGGGAAACCTGAAAAGAGGAAGTGGCAGCTTTCCTGCATTCTGCCTCAGGGTCTTACTGCCCACCCTCCTCTGTTTCGTTGCTGTGATTGCTGAAACGGAACAAAGAGCAGGGAAAGTCCCTCCCCTCCAGGCAAGCAGAGTGTCGTTCTTTCTAATTCCTCTCTGTGCTCCGGTGCTGCTGGGGGAGAGGGAGAGAGAGTGGGGGAGGGAGAGGGAGAGGGGGGAGGGAGAGAGAGGGGGGAGGGAGGGAGAGAGAGAGAGAGAGAGAGAGAGATGGCTGGCTTGGGGGGGAACTTTTGCCTTTCTTTCCTCCCACCCGTTAAATCCCTCTCCAGCATTCTTAGCCAGCTGCTTCTCTGCACACCCCTCTCATGTCCCTTCTTTGTTTTTCCTTCGCTCCCCACTTAAAATGTGGTTACAAAGCATAGATCAACATGGATCCTCAGGATCTTTGCATTGGGTCACCCCAAATTCACCATCAGATCACATAGCATGTCCATGGCTACAGCCTGCCCCCCCAAAATCACGCACCCATTGTTGCCTGGGGCTGCAATGGTGCAAAACGTGGTTAAAAAGCATGGATCCTCAGGATCTTTGCATTGGGTCACCCCAAATTCACCATCAGATCACATAGCATGTCCATGGCTACAGCCTGCACCAAAAAAATCACGCACCCACTGTTGCCTGGGGCTGCAATGGTGCAAAACCGTGGTTACAAAGCATGGATCCACAGGAATTCTCAGGATTTTTTCATTGGGTCACCCCAAATTCACCATCAGATCACATGTCTGTGGCCACAGCATGAAGCACAAAAATGATACATCCACTGTTTCATTCAGAATGTTTTTTCCCTTGTTTTCCTCCTCTAAAAACGATGTGCGTGTTATGGTCAGGTGCGTGTTATAGAGCGAAAAATACGGTACATATATTTTGTTAAGATGAAAAAAAAACCTTGACCTCTCCCCTGAAAGGAATCTCAAGCAGCAGGTGATGGGGAAGCCCTTTTCTGCCTGTGACCCTTGGGAGATGCTGCCAGTCAGAGGAGACAGTGATGAGCTTTAATGGGCCAGTGTTTAGACCTGGTGTAAGAAAGCTTTCTATATTCCTTCCTGCTTGAGAATAGGTGTGAGGTCGCTCCAAAGTCAATTAGAAAGACGAATAGTTGTGTGCTGGGCTTTGAACTCTGTAAAGTGCTTGTCCTTTCATTTCTTCTTATTGGTATTTATTCAATATATATACTGCCCTTTATCAGAAGATCCCAGCGTGGATTACAACAGTAAGAACACATTTTACGGATCATCAGTAATAAAAAGCATAATAACAAACAGCATAATAATGAAATAATAATCTCCCCCCCCCCATCTTTAACAGGCCATAGATCATGTAATGGTTAAAGGCCTGGGTAAGGAGGACTGTTTTTGCCTGGTGCCTAAAGACATGTAATGATAGCGCCAGGTGAGCTTCTCTGGGGAAGAGCATTCCACAGGTGGGGAGCCAGGACAGATAAGGCCCACTCTCCTGCTGCCTCCTTCCGAACCTCTCTGGAAGGAGGTACATAGAGAAGGGCATCAGATGGCAAGCTCAGGGTCTGGCCCGGTTTGTATGGGGAGAGGCAGTTCTTAAGGTCCTGAGGTCTTGAGCCGTGTAAGGATTTATAGGTCAACACCAGCACCTTGAATTGGGACCAGAAACTAATTGGCAGCCAGTGCAGTTGGGCCAGGATCAGTGTAATTTGCTCAAACCGTCTAGTTCTGGTGAGCAGCTTGGCCATTGCATTTTGCACCATCTGAAGTTCCCAAACCGTCTTCTAAGGCAGCCCCACGTATAACAACTGCAGTAATCCAGCACAGAGGTTACCAGAGCATGTCTTGCAACTCAAATGTACAAATCCTCTCTATCTGCCACTGGTCACAACAGAAAGGAGCCCTGTTGAGTGGGAGATTGCATGAGGACAGGCTCTGCTGTGCTCTCTGAACCCACGGCCTGTCTCCTCTTCGCCAGGGCCGCTCTATGTGATCGTGGAGTATGCATCCAAAGGGAACCTGAGGGAATACCTGCAGGCTCGGCGCCCCCCAGGCATGGAATATTGCTACAACCCCACCCACATCCCAGAGGAGCAGCTCTCTTTCAAAGACCTGGTATCCTGCGCGTACCAAGTGGCCAGAGGCATGGAATACCTGGCGTCCAAGAAGGTGAGCAGTCGCAGCAGGAATGGTGGGTGTGCAGTGCATACAGGAGGACGGGGGCTGAGGAGGCCGCTGTGCAGGTGACCAGAGGGGTAGAAGGGCCAGGGAATTATTTAAATTGTCTGCTGCAGAAAAATGCAGAAGGGTTAGGTTGACAATTGGATACTGCCTTTTTGGATGCAGAAGCCCTTTGCTTATTGTTTGATTGGATCTGTAACTTTGTTGTTGTTATAATGGTGGGGGGGCTGTGTGGGCTTCAGAATTCCACAGAAGTTCAGACAAAAATGTGTAATGGGGTATGGAGGCAAAGAAGTGAGATTCTTTCTCTTGCAACAACGGGGTAGGTCCCTCGCATGGAAGGAGGCACACAGATTTGCTTGGTTCATGTCATATATGCAGGCTGCAAGTTAGCTTGGTCAAAAATAATTTTGCCCTCTTTTGCTGTTACGTTCCCTGTTTTGTTTTAAGCTGAAAGTGCCCCTGCATTCCTCTGAGGGAGGTGTCAAGGCCTCCCAGGGCTGCTGCTTCTTTCTTGCAGGTCCCTAACAATCTGTGTCTCATCGCTAGTGCATTCACCGTGATCTGGCTGCCAGGAATGTGTTGGTGACAGAAGACAGTGTGATGAAGATTGCTGATTTTGGCCTGGCTCGAGACATTCATCACATAGACTATTACAAAAAGACAACCAACGTGAGTAGCCGATTCAGGGGTTTTGGCCACCACGTCTCACGGTCAGCCTGTATTCTGGTTTGTGTTTTTTTTATAAATTTTTATTGATTTTTCAACACAAAATAAACACAAACAATACACAGTACATGAACAAACAAACATATAAACATGTATAATTTCATAACCTTTTTTTCATAAACCTTACTTCCCGGACTTCCCCATGCCTCCCCTTTCTGCATCCCTGTTTTAAAATTTCTTCAGCAACCCCCCCAATTAGCTAATTATTCAATTCATTTTTTGTTTTTTTTAAGTTCTTCTCGTAACTTATTCAATTACAGCTGTAATTCTATATTTCCCATTCCCTTGACAATTTAGCACTCATTAATTTTACAACAATTCTTAAGATATATTTTAAATTTCTTCCAATCTTCTTCCACCGTCTCTTTCCCTTGGTCTCGGATTCTGCCAGTCATCTCCGCCAGTCCCATATAGTCAATCACCTTCGTCTGCCATTCTTCCAGCGTGGGTAGTTCTTGTGTCTTCCAGTACTTTGCTAAAAGAATCCTTGCTGCTGTGGTAGCATACAAACGGCCAGCCTGTATTCTGGACAAGGTTGCCCTCCCCTAGGAAGAACAGGGTCACTGTCATGGAAGGCTGTGGTGCCTCAGAGGCTACAAGTGCCTTGTTTCAGCTGCAACTGGTTTGCCAGCGATGGCACCTTTTCGACAGAGGTGACTTGGTTGCTAGTCACTTCCAGATTGGATGGTCACGATGCGCTCTACATGGGGCTGCCTGTGACAATGGCTCGGAAACATCCATTGGTCCATAGTGTAGCAGCCAGACTTCTAGCTGTGGTTCTATTTAGATCCCATAAAACCTCCGTTGATTTCTGGGCCCAATTCGGGGTGCTCTCCCCACAGAGGTGCATCTGACACCTTCATTGTACAACTTTCGGCGACTGCTGACGACACACCTCTGAACCGTGGCTTTTGACTCTAGAGATGCATATTTTAAGGCTCCACCTTATTTCTGTGATAGTAAGTTGTTTTAAACAGTTTTTAATATTGTGTTTTAATTGTTGAAGTCTACCCCCAGACCTTGTGGTGAAGGGACCAAAATAAAATATTGGTTATTTTCATCATTATATTCTGCCCATAAAAGGTGTGGATGTCATGTATGTGGTACTGTGCAGAAACCTTTCTGAAGCTGAGGAGGTCCAAGTCTGGGCCTGGCCTCTACCTGGATAGCAGATTGTGTGCCACTTCAGGCATTCCTTTCTCCACACAATTAACTAGAGAATGAGGTGAGGACACCTCGTTGCCTCATGACCAAGAAGCCAGGGAGAGAGAGGGGGAGTCTCAGAGGCTTTGTGGGCACCAGAAGAAGACCTCAATGATGCCTTTGCACGTATGGGCACCATGAAGGCAACCCCAGCTTGAGAAATCCAAGAGCAAATTTCAAAATGCACCTCGGAAAAGAGATACTTTGCGCCAGGAAGCAGAGGCTTTAATTCAATCTGAAGACTTTTATCCTGCATGGCTGTCCTTAAACCGTATTAAGATGGATTGAAAGATGTATTCATGGAATCTGATGTAAAGGGCTGCCCCATAGTAAAAAGGTAAAGGGGACCCCTGACCATTAGGTCCAGTCGTGACCGACTCTGGGGTTCATCTCGCTTTATTGGCCGAGGGAGCTGGCGTACAGCTTCCGGGTCATGTGGCCAGCAGGTGTTTACCTTCCCACTGGAGCGGTACCTATTTATCTACTTGCACTTTGACGTGCTTTCGAACTGCTAGGTTGGCAGGATGCCCCATAGTATTATATGTTTAAACTGATTAATGATTATGGAAGGATTTTTAAACATTATTCTTGTTTATAAAACCCAATTAAAAAACCCCCAACAGCAACCTTGAGTATCCAATTAGGAGAGCACTATTGCTGCTTGTGTATAGTCACTTTTCAACATTGCATAGTGGATTTTGAGATTGTGGGGTGCTTGCCACATTTGTTTAATGTGCTATATATAAGGAAAACAAGATTTAAACAGCAGTTTTTGCTAGAAGTAGAAATGTCAAAACTACACTGGGCGCTTCCAGCTCACACCCTTATTTAAAGCTGTTCACATGTTTGATTTTGTTTTTCAGAAGTGATTTTTTTTTCATGATTTTATATATATATTTGTATTGTTTTGCTATGGTGCAACATCATGAGAAATAAACTCTTCTGCATCTAACAATGCACATACTTCAAGGGAAAACTGAAAGGTCTTTCCAGATCTCCAGACACTTTTGTGCTGGGGGAAGTTTCCTTCCTAACCTAAAAACTGAGAGTCAATCAGATCCCCCAAGTATAATCAGTGGACTCTAATAAAAGGATAGTGGGACAGTCCTGCATCACAGGGCAAACCCTGAAGTGCTCTTCTAAATTCTTCTTCTTCCTTCTTCTTCTTTGGCAACCCCTGGTAGCCGAGGAAGATGGTCTTCCATGAACACGGTTTTAACAGTGAGTCTGTAAGTGACTGTGGAGGCCAATTCTGGATCCACATGTCCTTCCACAGTGGGGTTTCCATGCAGGAGTTGATCACGGTGTGGATTTGCCAAGCATGCCTTCCTCTTAGCATGTTTCTCCCTTTTGTCCTGAGTTCGAGTGTCTTCAACGCCCATGACACCTTTGGTAAAGGCTGTTCTCCAGTTGCAACGCTCGCAGGCCAGTGTTTCCCAGTTGTACATGTTTATACTACATTTTTTTAGATTTGCCTTGAGAGAATCTTTGAACCTCTTTTGTTGACCACCAGCATTGCGCTTTCCATTTTTAAGTTCAGAATAGAGTAGTTGCTTTGGAAGACGATCAGGCATCCACACAACATGACCAGTCCAGCAAAGTTGAACTGCTAAATTCATAGCAACACAACACCTCCATATTTATTATTTTTTGCATTATTCACGCACACAGACCCTGGCCTTTCTCTCCTTCCCACAGTTTTGGGCTGATGCAGCTGTCTTTCCTATTTCCTAGGGTCGCTTGCCAGTCAAGTGGATGGCCCCTGAGGCTTTATTTGACAGGATCTACACGCACCAGAGTGACGTGTGAGTATCTCTTGGCTACTTTAGACACAAACCTAACCTGAGCCAGTCCATGGAACTATCCAGATTGTCCTGTCTGGCATAACTGGTTGCAGGGCTCAGGCAAAGACCCATGCAATCTTTTCTCAGACTGGAGGTGCCAGGAATTGGAAGAAGGACCTCCTGCCGGGAAGGCAAGGGCTCTGTCCCAGCCCTGAAGCCTCTGCTCCTGCTAGCCATCTGCTCAGACTCGAGGGTGGAGGGATTGGGGAAAGAGCACTGGGCTGCTTTGCCTTTAACCTGTTAAATGTCACCGCTATACTTTTGGTTCCACAGTATTCACAGTTGCGCTCCAAGACACCAACTGCTCTGGCAACCCACTCCTGAATGGCTCCTTGTGCTCATGACTCCTCCAAGGAGTGTGTCTTTGCTTGTGGTCCAATTCACACACAACCTTGGTATGCAGGCAACACCCCCTTAAGCCTCCTGGCATCTCCAACTAAGCCCAGTGTGCTGGATACCATTCCCAAAGATGAAATAGATCCGATGTGGTTCATCTTTGCTTAAGGAAATGCTAATTATTATAAGCAGGAAGAGGGTTTTCGGTCTGGCACTGAGGTTTGTTTGAATCCTGCTACTGATTCCAGCCTTATTGTCAGCCCAATACCTTTTCACCTCCACAAGAAGTCTTAAAAAAAATTAATGAGACCATTTCATGGAGAAGCAGGCCTGTTGACAGCCAAGGGAGCTAGGGGTGCTTGAATAATTTGGTTTTTACAAATTCCAATAGGGACTGGCCTGGACTAATGTGCAGATTGCAATACAGTTGTCTTTTGGATTTTTCCCTTCTCAGAATTTTCCAGTTTTTTCCAGTTCAAAAAACATACCTAAATGCTTATGAAATAACATTTCAAGATAAGCTATCCAGCAGGTTTTTCTTTCTCAGCCAAGCAAGCATAACCAAACTACACTGCTACTGCTGTGATTCCTGATGTGCACACAATGCGCAGTTTAGAATGTAGGAAGTTCCTTTACTCTGAGCCAGCTCTGTACTGGCTACACTGTCTGGCCATGGCTCTCCAATCATTATTCAAACCTTGTAACTTAAAGAATAAAAACCATGAAAGAAATAGCACTGTGAGGAGAGATGTGATCATAGGGGAGTGCTGGAGGGGGGGAATGGTTGGAAAAACACATTTTTTAAAATACATACCTTTAAAGAAAAGGAAAAAGCTACAAAAAAATCCAAACACTAGCTGGAGACCATTTGCAGAAGGGAGCTCTCCCGTCCTGGTGTCTTCCCACACCTCCCTCCCCCATGTCAGCGCTGGGTGAGCTGAGCCAGGCTGCATGTGCAAGAAGTGTCCCATCAGAAGGGGTGCCCTGCTTCCCTGCCACACAGGTGTTGTGAGGAGCCCCGTGAGGACTGGGCAGGTGAGTTGGGTGGGAGACCCCATTTCCACACACTGTGTCTCTGCTCTTTGGCCAGGTGGTCCTTCGGGGTTCTGCTGTGGGAGATCTTCACGCTGGGAGGGTCGCCATACCCAGGAGTGCCAGTGGAAGAGCTTTTCAAGCTGCTGAAAGAGGGTCACCGAATGGACAAGCCCAGCAACTGCACCAATGAGCTGTGAGTGTCGCCTCCTGGCTCTTTCCCAGGCTGCCTCTCGCGTCTTTGGCATTGTGCTGGACTCAGACAAGAAGCACAGATGGGGTTCTTCCCGCCCTGGTCTTCAGTTCTCGTTAAAGTGTTGAAAGCACAGCATGAGGCCAATATATTGTACATTGGGTTTCGTGGAGTGTTTATTTTATTTTATTTGCCATTTCTACAGCTCTTAGCCCTTTCCTGGCTCAAAGGCTATTCCTGCTTTGGGCAGAGAGATTCTCAGGTGTTACCAGCTCTGATAGTGGTGCTGTCCGGACAGGACTTTGTTGCAGAATGAGCGGGAGGTGCTCCAAACATACCAGGGCTCGTTCGCCATACCTTGAAGCCAATGAAGTAATACCCATTACCCCCTAAAGAGGAATGCCGTGTAAGACCATTAAATCCAGAGTCTAAAAATACCTCCCTGCAAAATGGTTCAGAAAGCTTCAGCAAGAATTCTGCTTTGTCAAGGATCAGCCCCTTATGGTCTCTGTGGAAGCATGGGAGGTTGCCTTGTACTGAGTCATAGAATCACAGAGTTGGAAGGACCCCAAAGGTTATCTAGTCCAGCCCCCTGCGGTGCAGGAATCTTCCTGCCCAATGTGGGGCTTGACCCTGAGATTAAGAGTCTCAGGCTCTACTGACTGAGCTATACCAGACCATCTGGCTCAGGAATGTCTACACTGACTGGCAGGGGCTCTCCAGGATTTCAGACTGGAGGGCAGGTTGCCGAGCCCACCCTGGAGATACCAGGGATGTCTCATGAGCTATGGCCCTTCCCCCAAAACTTCCAGGTGAACAGAAATCCTGGAGGAGATTACATGTGATCTAATCTTCAGTGGTTATGTTAGGGGCTATCCCTGTTTCAGCAGTGTTTGTTTGTTTGTTTGCTGCCTCTCCTTGTGCCCAGGGCAGCTTGGGTTAAATCAAAGACTTCATTAAAATGAATGCAACAGCAGCAATACTGGCATTTCAAATCGACACAGCATATATCCAAGTGATCCCTAAACACAACAGATAAAATGTTGGAAAAGGCCATCTCGTCTAGCGCCCTGTTTCTCACGGCGTTCTCCCCACTTGCAATTCCTGGCAGTCAGCATTCACAGAAGCCATGCCTCTGACCCTGGCCGTTACAGCCGGGGGCCGGGGTTCCCTTCTCCTCCGACCCAAATGCCAAGCAAGTCAGGCTCGTGCTTTCCCCTCCCAGAAGTCGGGAGAGCTGTTGATGCCACCAGGCCTCTTGCTGGAGGCCCTTCCGTAGCCTCGGGGCTGCAGCCGTGGAGTCTCTCTTCCTCCAGATATTTGAACTTGCCATGCGAGGGCGTCTGAAGCAGAGGGGCTTGGGACGTGGGAGCGAAAGGAAAGAGGGGTGCTTTGAGCAATTCTGATCCCAAGGTCAGCCTGTTCCTATGACACGAGTTCCCAGAGATGGTTTTCCTTGCCCGGCTTGCAGGGCCGGCCGCCTGGAGAGCCCCATCGAGCGCAGCAGCCTGGCACAGCAGAACTGAACCCCCGCTGACCGGCAGATGCATATTATGAGCGCTGGCAGGAATTCAGCGTTATTTTCCCAGCCCTGCTGAAAGCTGTGCGTGATAATAAACCAAGACTTCATTTCCTTTATATTTTTGTTTTTCTCAGCAGGAGAATATCCCAAATTGGGGGAGGGGGAGGGGGGTAACTTGGTCTTTTGTCTTGATCGACTCTCAGTCCCTTCCCAATTTGTTCTAGCCAGCCTGGCCAGTGGCTGCTGTCAACAGATCCACCTCCCTCCTTCGCCACACAATGAGGAGGATTGTGGTGCTCAGACCTAAGAAGGGGCTCACACCAAGGGTTGCTGCAGGCTCAAGCAAGCACCTTCTGGTGTCGGGGTTCCCTTGGTTGGCCCAGCTGAAAGATCCAGACCCTGCTTCATACTAAATTGCTATTAAACACGCAGTCCTTTTGCATTAGTCTGCATGTTAATGGCAGAAATTAGACTTGCCTTCAGTGCCTTGCAAAATGTTCATCAACAGCCATTGGTTCATTTGACTCTTATTTATAAAAAGCAGCAACCTTTGATTTACAAGTGGTGGGCATTTATTTATAGCAGTTTAAAAACCTATGGGGAAGAGAGGGCGGGGGATTTCCGCTGCACAAGCAGTCCTGCTCACAAAGGACTGGATGGGATACAAGCCTGTCACATGCTTTCAGTGAAAATGAAGTTTACAGTTTGCAGGCCTGTGTCTCCCCCCGGAGCCAAGAGGTCTGCTTTAGGCACAAGTGTGGAACTAAGCAGGTCTCAGTTGTCTGCACTGGAGACCCCCTGTGAACCCCACATGCAGAAGAAAGGCAGGCGTAGATGTAACAGAGAAATAAACAGTCTATGATAGACTAGGAAAGACTTGTCACATGTCAGAGGTGGTGGACAGAAACCTGGACTTAGATTATGGTGGAGGACTTTGTTTCAAGGTTCTATGCGATTCGTCATTGTGTCTCAGCTTCCATCTGAAACATTCTTTGTAGGATTGTTGTAAGGATTTATGATCTCAGGAAGATCATGGAGTGTTTGCAAGTTCAGTAAGGTGCAAGTGTCAGGGTAGCCTTGGCCAACCTGGTGCCCTCCAGATGGTGCTTTGGACCCCCATCCCCGCCACCACAACTTGTAGTCCAAAACATCTGCAGGGCACCAAGTGGGATGGAGAAGGGCGTCAGGAGAAAGTGCTGAGACTGGGTTGGTTCATCTCGTTGAACAACCTCTTTCCAACGGTGGCAAACCAAGTGCCCCAGAGAAGTCTCCAGGAAGGATGGGGAATCTTTTTGGAGCCAAAAGCCACATCACCTGGTGGAAAGCTGTTGAGCATTGCATTCCAGTAGTGGAGGCTGTCAGACCAGCAAAAAAATCCCACACCCTTCACACAGACACACATGTGGGTTATTTCCCATGGAAACAGAGGCATTTATTTAATTCTTACCAACTCTACTCAAGTTTCACCTTCCATTCTCTCCAATTTTCTTTTTTTACAAAATATGTATAAAATAATGTCAAATAACGTCAACGCACAGCTGGACTGCAGTCCAAAACATCAAAATACAGTTGCATCCCGAAAATTGCATGCATGCAATCACAAAATGCATGGGCCCTTCTTGCATATGTGCTCCTGTGTCATTTCCCACTCTGCCTTGATCTTGCGGATTAATGAGCTACAGTTGCTGGTTTTGCAAAACACCAGAGGTCTGTTCTTCCCTCTCAGTTGCTGCCCTGAGCAGCTGATGGCCTTAGGGGATGTAGAGAGCATTCCCTGGCATCCATACCAGACCTGGGGGTGATTGCCTTCTTATGCTCCCTGCCCACCAAATCTGATATTCAGAAGTCTACTGCCTCCCTTTAGCTTCATAGCTTTGATGGAATCTGTTGCTTTTGTTGAACCTGTTTATAAAATAGCCATTTCATGGGCTTGTCCATGTTCTGTTACGTGTCCTGCAACTCTGTGCTAAACATTTTTCATCCGGTACTCTTATCCTCTCTGTAAAGGTACATGATGATGCGAGATTGCTGGCATGCTGTTCCCTCCCAGAGACCCACATTTAAGCAACTGGTAGAAGACTTAGACAGGATTGTGGCCATGACCTCTAACCAGGTAAAATACATCTTTTTCCAAAGACTGTATGCTCCTGGGTGTCATTCTGTCTGTCTGCAAGGTTGCAGGGAGCCGCTTCCTGGACTAGCCATGGATTCAAAGCTCAATGCTTTGAGTCCCCTGGGGACTCTGGCTTTTGGGGCCGACCAGGTCTTCTGTCTGGCTTTGGCTCCTGCTGCTGAGTGCTGCAACTAATTCCAGTGTTTCTTGGGGAGAGTCGCTGGAGCACACTCCCTTTTGATACCTTTGTTCTGATAGGCCCAATTTTCCCTGGGTGTGGGAAAATTCGGGGTGAAGTGATTCACTGTTGCTTTAATGCCCCTTTCTCTTTCTACTGGCATTTGTCTCTTGGGGCTCCCCTCTCCTCTCCGAGGCCTCCAGACCCTGGGATGGCCAGTGCTTAAGCCCTCATGGCTCTTTCCTTCCCTCTAGGAATACCTGGACCTTTCCATGCCATTGGACCAGTATTCTCCTAGTTTTCCAGACACCCGCAGCTCCACCTGCTCTTCAGGAGAGGACTCTGTGTTTTCCCACGACCCCCTCCCCGATGAACCTTGCCTCCCCAAGCACCCACCTCAGCTTGCCAATGGAGGACTCAAAAGGCGCTGAGACTGCAACTTCTGTGGGACGTTTGCAAACCCTCCGTGTACACAAGCGTAGCGTGTTTGTGTGCATGTGTTGAGGAGTGTGTGTGTGCACTTCGCTTCCAGCTGGACTGGTGGTGGAGCACCGCATGGGGCAGCCATCAGCCCCCTTCCAGCTGCCATAGTCATGATCTGCAGAGACTCCATTTTGAATAACCAAACCCACACCGCCCCCTTCTTCTCAAAGCTGCCATGATTGCAAGTCCTTGACCTCTGGAAGAGGAGCTCACAGGGAATCTGTGCTTGAATATTTCCCATGAACTTAAGTTGAACTGCATCCCCTGCCCCCCTTTTGGCCAGTGACAAAACAAAAAGGCAGAGCCAGACACCTGGGCTTCAAGAGCAACCTGCTGCCACTTCTCTGAAAAGGACTCTGGGGAGAACAACATTCCTTTGAAGAGAGGGGGCATTTTCTGCTCTCTACTTCCAAATGCAAGCAACACAACCTCTTCACAGCTCAAGAAGCCGACAGCTAAGCCTGAGGTGCAAAGCCTGTGGCCCAAGGACACTCTGGATTCAGCTCTCAACTGGGAAGTCTTAAATTCAGCCAAGCAGCAGCAGCACCTGGGGCTGGAGGGCCTGCTGCGTCTGTGATGCCAGTCGGGATGGCGCAGCGCACTTCTGCGCATGCTTGTGCTGGGACCAAGCCTTCTAGCCCAGCAGGACTTCCTCCCAGGAAAACAGGCATAGGGCACAGCCCTGGTTTGTGCTTTGTGGACCAAACTTGGGAAGTGACCAGGGACCCCAAAGCCTGGGGTATCTTCACAGCACTTGACGCGAAACAGAGAGGATGCAGCCCAACAAAGCCAGTGCTCGGAAGAGTCTTTTTTTTTTTAATTAAACAAGCTTATGTACATAGCTGCAAAATGTATAAATATGAAATATATATTTACATGTCTTTTTTTAAAGAAAATTTGCTGTTTACCAGAGTTAATATCACTTTGGTAGTAAGTTACTAGTGGCTGGTAGGTATCAGTTGCTATAAAAACAAATCATATATTTTGCTACTTTTGCTGGTTTTTTGTTTTGTTTTAAATTATGTTCTAAAACTTATTTCAGTTTAGGTACTTCAATAAAATTGCTGCTGCTTCAGTTTTATATGGGGTTATATTAAACAGTGATTTTTGTTGGTTAATGTTGATTTCCCTTTGGAAAGCTGTTATGAAATTATCTCCCTCCTTTCTTAGGCTCCTCCTCCCTTGCCCTGCCATTGATTTCTGTCCCGGCCACCGAGTGCAGCCTTTGGATTTGGTGCCCAGCAGGAGGACAGTCAGTTCACCTTATTGGCGCAAAAAAAGGGTGTCTGTGTGCCAATGGTTCAGTTTCTAGGTTCAGAATCTTGGTCCGCAGTGGGGCTGAAGCCCCATGAGGACGAGGAACCCTTTTCCAGCCGTGTCTGTGCATTTCTTTGATGTTTTGCAGGTAGAAATGGCTCTTGCCCTTTTGGGGGTAGAAAGTGATGTTGCCGGAGCAAGCTCTTCCCAGCTGAGTTTTGACATCCTTTTGCTCTGGCAACTTGGAACCCAGAGCAAGACCAGCTCAAGAGCTGCCTCTGGCCCTGCTTCAGAATTCTCATGATGCTTGGGTCAGCCCCAGCTTCTCGTTTTGTCCAAACAAACTTTTCCCCGCCCAGGCAGTGCCAAGGAAGAACTCCACGAGTGCCTTAAAATGAGCTGTGGAAACTTGCATGTCCGTACAAGATGAGAGGAAGTGCACTCGTCCCTCCCTATCTTCCATGGGAGCAACCTAGCAAATTAGTCAGAATTCTTCATTTCCTACCAGTTCTTTTCCAATAGCTAGTTTGGCCCTGAAGCCTTATCCGGGTCTCCTCTAAAGCAGCCAGGAACACCTGAACTGGAACTGCACATTTTGGGCCAGGAGGTGGGGCGAGACCATTCCTTGTGCCCAGTGCTATTTTTCAAGAAAAAGAGACACCAGAACTCACCATGAATGCATCCTGTGTTCTCTTAGAATGGCGATGGTGCCCACCTGAGAGGGGCCAGAACTGAGTTCCGGCTGGAAAAAAAACCCTGTTTGCACCAATACTTTAAGCTCTTCCAGCACTCACTATATTAGCCATTGCCTACCTGGTGCCCTCCAGATGTGTTGGGTTACAGCTGCCATCAGCTGGGGTTGGTGGCCATTACAGCCAAAAACATCTGGAAGGCACCATGTTGGGAAGACTGCTCTAATTTTCACGTTCCCCAAATAATCGACATGGCCCTTGGCTTCCAGAATGGCATGCAGACTCCCAAGCCCTCTTCCTGCTTTCTCCCCCAGTCTAGACTAAGAAACAAGAGTTTGCTTTCTGTTCCTCAGTGGTATCTTGGAAGCCAGAGCCATGCCAGTCATACTTGAAAGCTTGCCCTGCCTTTGTATAGAGTCAGATTACTGTGCTTTTTAAAAATTCTGTAACAAATTTGGTGGCATTGTAATTTATTTTTTATTTTTAAAGATTTTAACAGAGTCCTGCAACCCTCCTTGACATTAGCTGATATTCTTGTTCCCTCTCCCCTTTGTGTGCCTTCTTTTTCTTATGGGGAAAATGAGAATAAACCATGCAAATTTATGTAAATGTTACATATCTTATTTGAAGTCCAGAATCTGTGGGTTTCAGCCTGTGGGCTTGAACACCTGGAAGCCAACAGCAGCTAGGCTTCTGGCTTGGGGGGTCCACTCCCCCCCCCGCCCCCGATCTACCAGTTGGAAGAAGTCATGACATGGTACTGTATAGTCACTGCAGGGCAACACAGAGGAGGAGACACTCGCATAACGACTGCTTGGGGCACAGGGAAGAAAGGCCATTAAATGTTCTGTGCATCTCAGCAGCAGCAGATCAACCTAACACAATCCACACATGACAATAATTCATGTTGTTAAGAAGCTAAGCATTTAGAAGTCTTTCTAGAAAGCATTAACACATTTTACAAAGCAGAAAGAGAGTCAGGTGTAGCAGTTAAGAGTGCTCTATTAGGTCTTGGGGGACCAGGGTTCAAATCTCCATGCAGCTGTGAAAGTGATGTTGGGCCAGTCACTGTCTCCTAGCCTCACCTACTTTACAAAGTTGTTTTGAGCATATACACACCATATTCAGCTCCTTGGAAGAAAGGTAAAGGGACCCCTGACCATTAGATACAGTCGTGGCCGACTCGGGGGTTGCGGCACACATCTCGCTTTACTGGCCGAGGGAGCCGGCGTACAGCTTCCGGGTCATGTGGCCAGCATGGCTAAGCCACTTTTGGCGAACCAGAGCAGTGCACGGAAACGCCGTTTACCTTCCCGCCAGAGCGGTACCTATTTATCTACTTGCACTTTGACGTGCTTTCGAACTGCTAGGTTGGCAGGAGCTGGGACTGAGCAACGGGAGCTCACCCCGTCGCGGGGATTCGAACCGCTGACCTTCTGATCAGCAAGTCCTAGGCTCTGTGGTTTAACCCACAGCACCACCCGCGTCCCATGGAGGAAAGGTAGTGTGCCTTAAACATAAGGCTAGTCCCAAGGACCATAATTGAATCCATGGCAGAGCAGATAACTCCAAAAGTAAGCCAAGCAACAAACTGTGATGCTACTTAAACACATGCATTATACAGTGGTGCCCTGCAAGACGAACGCCTCGCAAGACGGAAAACCCGCTAGTCGAAAGGGTTTTCCGTTTTGGAGGCGCTTCGCAAAACGAATTTCCCTATGGGCTTCCTTCGCAAGACGAAAGCCCATAGGGAAATCTCCGGGACAGCGGGGAAGCGCAGCGCATCTTCCCCACTGTCCTCGGACCTCCTCCGAAGCCTGGCGGGGGGGCGGAGAGACCTCCTCCCGCCGCCAGGCTTCGGAAAGCTGCTCCGAAGCCTGGCGGGGGGGTGGAGAGGTTTTTTAAAAACCCCGGGACAGCGGAGGACTTCTCCGCTGTCCGGGGCGATTTTAAAATGCTGGTGGGCAGCAGCGAAGGCTTCGCTGCTGCCTGCCAGCATTTTAAAATCGCCCCGGACAGCAGAGAAGTCCCCCACTGTCCCGAGGTTTTTTAAAATGCTGGCATCTTCCCCGCTGTCCCCGGACCTCTTTTGAAGCAAGGGGCGGCAACGCGGAGAAGCGATCTTCTCCCCTCCGCCCCTTGCTTCAAAAAAGGGGACAGAGGGGAAGGCGCGCGTCTTCCCCTTTCTCCCCGGACCCCTTTTGAAGCAAGGGGCGGCAACGCGGAGAAGCGATCTTCTCCCCTCCGCCCCTTGCTTCAAAAGAGGGGACAGAGGGGAAGGCGCGCCTTCCCCTCTGTCCCCGGAGATTGCGGGGCAGGCAATGGGGAGAAGCAATCTTCTCCCCGCTGCCCCTTGCTTTAAAACAGGTCCGGGAACACCTCCCGCCGCCGCCCGGCTTCGGAAGGCTCCTCCGAAGCCGGGCGGTGGGGCGGGAACACCTCCTCCCGCCGCCCAGCTTTGGAAGGCTCCTCCGAAGCCGGGCGGCGGGGCAGGAACACCTTCTGAAGGCCGGCGGGGGGCAAAAGTCTTTGTTCCCCCCTGCCTGCCTTCCCGGGAGAGCGGAGAAACGCGCTGTGTTTCTCCGCTGTCCCGGAAGGCTTTTGAAGGCAGGCGGGGGGGAGCAAAGACTTTTGCCCCCCGCCCGCCTTCAGGAGAGGTCCTGGACCTCTTCTGAAGGCTGGCGGGGGGCAAAAGTCTTTGTCCCCCCTGCCTGCCTTCCCAGGGGCTTTTAAAGTCCTCCGCTGTCCCGGGGTTTTTTAAAATGCTGGGGGTGGGAAGAAAAGCCCTTGTCCCCCCCCCCCCCAGCCTTCAGAAGAGGTCGGGGGACAGACTGTCCCCGGACCTGGTCTGAAGGCGGTTTCCATAGGAACGCATTAATTGATTTTCAATGCATTCCTATGGGAAACCGTGCATCGCAAGACGAAAAACTCGCAAGACGAAGAGACTTGCGGAACGAATTAATTTCGTCTTGCGAGGCACCACTGTATGTGCTTAAGGAATTAAGCAGTGAAGCCACAAGGCAGATGGGCACGTGTATAAATGTGCACATGAGCCAGACATACATACTCGCAACCTGTCCATAGCAAACTCAGCACAGGAGAAGACCTTCAGACCGCACAAAACACACAAGAAAAGGGATTCTCTGTCTACCTGCACCCTGGAAATGTCTTAGTACTCTGCTCGCGCCAAGTTCTTGCAACCTCTCTTGCACCTATGGGCCTCCAGAGCAGTCAGGAAGAGGCATGTGGTGGCAAGTGGAGGTGTCCCCAGCCATCCCAAGTTCAACTGCTGCTCCTGGAACAAGGGGTGGCATCTAGTCTAGCCTTATGTTCTCAGAACAGCCGGCCAGCTGCCTCTGGCCAGGTCATATCATAAGCAGGACATGAACACAAAGCCTCCCCCCTTGATTTCCCGCTTTTGGGGGCTACAGCACGTAAGAATTTTTATTTCCTTAGAGAGAGAAAAGGGCAGCTGAGAAAGAGGGGGTGGCCTTGCCACCAGGAAGAAGCTCCCAACTGATCACCGCCAATGGAATTCAGCCCTTGGCAGGGGGAAAAAATGGCTCTCCACTTCTGTTTGAAGCCTTTACCAATATATATATATTCTTTAATTTGCTTGCTCTATGCAGGGTGTGCGGGGCTGAATGAAAGTTATCACTGGGAGGGGCAGAAGGTTAATAATAATAATAATAATAATATCAGAATTGTAGAGTTGGAAGGGAGGGACCCTGAGGATCATCTCGCCCAATATGCAGCTGTCTTGTGCAGACCTTGGCATTATTAGCACAGTGCTCTGACCAATAATGATACTTTTATTATTGATACCCCACCCATCTGGCTGGGTTTCCCCAGCCACTCTGGATCAGTCTCCCTGTGAATCAATCTCACTGTAGCTATTGGGAGATGTGCATTATTTGGGTAGAGATGGAACAGACTGGGAGTGTCACTATTTTGAATGAAGATTTGAAAACTTAAAACTCTCCTCAAGTGGGAAATGCTGAAATTAAATAGAACTGGTTTGTCAGTAGAAGATGTCTGCTTTTAAACTGATAAGGGGTTCTGCGTATGGTGCTACTTACATTTTCTTCGTAGCACACACTTTCCCACTGCATCTTCCAATGCAATTTGGAAGTGTCACATTCATAAAAATCCAGTTGTAATGGAAAGGGGAAATATAGCTGAATGGACACTCCAGAGAGTGAACTCCTGCAAATCAAGAAGAGATTGAGCTGTAGTTCTCTGATAAGTAAATTTATTACAAATCTTACTGTCACAGTACATGGGAAGCTGGGTCCATCTAATTCAGCAACAGCTCTGTAGGATTTTGGGAAGAAGTCTCTCCCAGACCTACTTCGCAGTGCCAAGGATTGAACCTGGAACCTTTTGTATGCAGTGCCTCTCTCTCCATGAGCTACAGCCCTTCTTTCCTATGTACAAACTGCTCCCTGCTCACATTGTAAGGAAAGAGTTCACAATCCTTGATTTAGCATTATGTCCAAACCTGGGATCGTGGTTTGTTTTATTCCCTCCAAGGGAAGGTTTATGGTTTGTTCAAGTACTGCAACGCTAAGCCAGAAATCATGCTTTGTTTTCTCCCAGCATGAGTGGGAAGGAGCAATTAACTATGGTTTACTGTCATGGACGAATTGGATTACTGTAGCTTAAGGAATAGCACCTACCGGTAAATTGAAATCCTCTGCAGATTTTATTGGAAGTGAAATTAGCTGAACACACTGTTCTCATGCAGACATAACACTAAGTTATGGTTTAACATCATGAACTAGCCTTGAACTTGTGATATTTTCTCTTCTGGCATGATTACGAGGAGAAGATTGGAAGAGTCTTTTAAACTAAGCAAATCATAGTTACTTGAGAGATTAGTTTGTACGTAACACTACATGAGTTTCATGCTGTGTGCTGGTGTCCTCACCTCATTTCCTCCCACATGACCAGAAGAAAGAGTTTTGTAACATTTTCATTTCACTTTCCATGAATGCAGTACAGTGGCACCTCGGTTTAAGAACAGTCCTGTTTATGAACAATTTGGTTTATGAACTCCGCAAAACCGGAAGTAGTGTTCTGGTTTGTGAACTTTACCTCAGTTTACAAACAGAAACCAAATGGTGCAAGGGCACCGACGGCAGAAGGCCTCATTAGGGAAAGCACACCTCGGTTTAGAATCATAGAATCATAGAATCATAGAGTTGGAAGAGACCACAAGGGCCATCGAGTCCAACCCCCTGCCAAGCAGGAAACACCATCAGAGCACTCCTGACATATGGTTGTCAAGCCTCTGCTTAAAGACCTCCAAAGAAGGAGACTCCACCACACTCCTTGGCAGCAAATTCCACTGTCAAACAGCTCTTACTGTCAGGAAGTTCTTCCTAATGTTTAGGTGGAATCTTCTTTCTTGTAGTTTGGATCCATTGCTCCGTGTCCGCTTCTCTGGAGCAGCAGAAAACAACCTTTCTCCCTCCTCTATGTGACATCCTTTTATATATTTGAACATGGCTATCATATCACCCCTTAACCTCCTCTTCTCCAGGCTAAACATGCCCAGCTCCCTTAGCCGTTCCTCATAAGGCATCATTTCCAGGCCTTTG